ACTAACTCAAAGTCTGCTGCGTGTTGAGATGGCTTTACAAGACAGCTCTCTTCCATGTGGCGCTCCAGGCTGCTTCACTCTGTTAACCTAAGCATCTTAGCACAAGACTTCACCAAGGATCACTGTGGCAGGGAAAGTGCTATCCAGAACTGCTTGGGTCCTGCTACCTGGAAGTGACACGCATCAGTCAGCTTGCAATCGATTGGCCAGAACTAGTCCTGTGGCCTCCTCTAATACAAGGGGATGAACGTGGAGTCTTCTGTGTGCCCAGCAGAGAAGACCTGGATATTGATAAACACGAGTATTGTCTACCACTACTTGATGAGGCACTGGGTACTTAGTAGTGAACAAAACAGACAGGGTTTATCTTACCTTCATGGAGCTCTCAATCCAGAGCGACATGCTGCTAAGGAAAGCTATGGCATCTGTAAAGAGCCAGGTTTCTGCCCAGGCAAGGCAAGGAACTGGATCAAAGAGATTGTATTCAATAAGTATAAAGTTATATGGGAAAATAGGAAAGAGTAACAGTTTAGTATAAGTGACAAGTATGGAGAACTTAGAAATCCTCAATAAATATTTACTGAATGAATGTTAAGTGAGGAATAAGAAGAAATTTAGCTCTAAAAAACTAAACGGGAAAGGCAACAGAGAGAGAACAGATATAGGAAGAAAAAACACATGGAAACAGTTTATGCTTTTCAAATGTTCTGAATAATATTTGGGAATAAAAGCTGTTCTTGCTATATCTGCTGCTTCCAGTAAGCCTGAAATATTTCTGCGCTGGTCTCTTCTGCCATAGTTGGGCTGCGGAGGAATGAGTTCCCAGCCAGACTGTTTCATTCTTACCTAGTCAAGAGTGTGGGAATTGTTGGGAAGCTTGGACTCTGACTCATCTTCTGGAATGTTTTGTGATGAATCACGTTTGTTTGATGGGCAGCTGTCATATGTAGAGGGGTCACAGGAAATGTGGAATTCTGCTGCTTTAAATACTAAAACTATTACAGAGTGAAGCAAAAATCCTATGAATACAATTTTATGGCACAATGTTGGGGGGGGTTCCTTAAAAGCATTAAAATGATTTATATTAAAAAACCTCTATTAGAGAAAACATACCAAAAAAAGAACATTTGTAATGCAATCCCTGGAGATAAATCCTGTTAACATTTTGGTATAGTTCATCCCAAACTTTTTTCTTAGGCACATGCATCCATTTGTCTTACCAAAACAGATCATATAATACATTACTACTCTGTCACTCCCTTTTACTTGACAGTATTTCTTGAGTATTTTTCCATGTCAAAAAATATACCTCAGGGCCGGCCTGGCGGTGCAGTGGTTAAGTTCGCACATTCTGCTTCGGTGGCCCGGAGTTTGCTAGTTCAGATCCCAGGTGTGGACATGGCACCACTCATCAAGCCATGCCATGGCAGGCATCCCACATATAAAGTAGAGGAAAATGGGCACGGATGTTAGCTCAGGGCCAGTCTTCCTCAGCAAAAAGAGGAGGATTGGCAGATGTTAGCTCAGGGCTGAACTGCCTCAAAAAAAAAAAAAAAAAATAACCTCTACAACATTATTTTTAGTAGCCTCATGATATTACATCATACATATGTGTCAAAATATATTTCCTTATCATCCTATTAGGTTGTTTACAGATGATTAACATTATAAACAATGCTGTTATGGACATAGTCTAGCAGAACTTCCATGCACCTTTTTAATTGTTTTTTAGGGTAACTTTTCTAAAATTGAAATTACTGGGGCAAAACTTATATACATTTAAGGCTTATCATGTACGTTACCAAATTGCCCTCTAAAATATTGTTTCACTTTACTTTCCTACCAGCAATGGATGAGAGCAGAAGAGTGTTTAGGAGCCTATGAGTCTATAAGTATGGATATAGAAAATTGAATGTATTATTAAATATATGTTAAATCTTGACGGCTGTTGGCAGAAAGGGGCACTCTACATATTATTTTTAAATCCCCATTCTATATTTAATGCTTTATGCTAAAATCATAAGTACGAGAGCTTCACGTTAGATTTCTTTAAAAGGAATTTAAGACAGATTCACATATTCTGCTGAATGGGTTCATTAGTATCACGGGTGCTGGGATAAGATCCATGGATGAGCCACTGGATATTTGGAATGAGTTCTTCGGTCAGCAAAATATATTGAGCTCTGCCACTGAATGTCATCCGAGCTTGATATATGGCTGTGGCTAAATATTTGTGCACAGCTTTAATGATTGTCTGATTGTTAAGCAATTTCCCATTTTTTTAAAGAGAAAACCGAGAAAAATTTTCAGCTAAATTGACTGTAAAACTTTCAGGGACATAGATGAAATAATCATGTGTCTACTTATAATATGTTATCTACTAATGTCGATATAAATAATACTTTAAAGCCATATCATGTAGAATATTTTTAGAAGCATTGCTCTTTTCCTACCCTTATATTTCAGAAGCAGTTTTAGTTTAACTCCCCCTCCCATGCAGTCTTCACATCAGAATGGTGCCACCTTTTCAGGCAGCTGGCGTGTTTCCACCACCTGTCATCTGGAGTTCAGTCTGAGCAGTTTGGGGTGCAAGACTAGTGAAACTGTGTGTGATGCCCTCCCTGGAAATCTTCTCCCCAGCTATTAAAAACCCACTTACTACTCATGATCTCCAGTAACCACTTACTCTATTACTTTTTTTAGTGATCTTTAAAATACTTGTTTTCAACAGCATCCAATACTTCAAATTATTAGGTCATGTCTCCCAAAATAATTACTAAGTCAGTATTAAATTCCTTTGCTTCTGTTTTTACCAGTCCCATCAAGTGAATGACTGTAAAAACCGTCCAAAACTCTCATCAGTTGACATTGTTTCAGATTAATTCAAGTTCCCTAAACAAAATAAAGTAGTTGAGAGAGTGCCTGGTATTATGAGAGACTTTATAAGGACTTTAGTATAAAATGCTTCTTTTTCTGAAGGATAATTTGGGGGAAGAAAAATCTCACCTTACATTCATCCATATATTATAGTTTAAACAAAAAGAGAGGGGATTCATACAAATCTCTTTTATGTGCTTATGCAAAGTGACTATTGAATATGAAAGCTTTTGTCCACCTATAAAAAATATCTAAAGAATACAGTAGGATTGTAATGTGTTTATCTTGTATAGAAACACTGAAATTGTGGGTTCATAAAGCCTACTGCTTTGAAAATACTCACAGTGGAATGTTTTAAGAACTTCAGCTTCTACCTAATTAAACCTCCTCCCAACCCCAAACAGCGTCTACTTTTACTTTAATACGAAACAAACAAACAAACAGCAGGACATATTTAGAATAGATATTCTCTTGGGGATCTCTAGCTAGAATTTTTGGAACACAAAATGAAAAATTTAGAGAACTGAGTGGCTAGATTTCCCTTTAGTGTTACTCCCTCTTTAAGATATATGATGTTATATTGTTTCCATTCTTTTCATCTAAGTATTTCCAAGAGAATCAGACTAAAAGAACATATTACAGATTAGGTGGCAGCAATTTGATTGATATGGTTAAGGTACGGCATATTCCTTACTTTCAAACTGTTTTCAGTCTTTGTTCTTGCCCACAGCAGTAGTATATATAAGAACTATCCAAAAAATTCCCAATGGTACACGTATGTAATGCACGTCATCTTAAAAAGCAATGAGCATTTTCCTGTTGCGTTCTTTATTATTTAAAGTAGATCAAACTGAGAGATACAGAGCTTAAAATAAATTGTTGCGGAACTCTTAATTCGATAAGATTTTACAATTCCATGAGATTATAAGTGCCGTTTTAAAATGTTAATCAGAAGATGCATTTGTTTTAATTCTTGATACTGAAAATATTGACTGAATTGTGAATTAACACATTGAGGGTTGCAGATGTCATTTTTCATGAGATTTCCTGAATGATGTAATTTTCATATTTCGTATAGCAGTTTGATCAATTTACAGATTTATTTTACATAATTAGTTGGTAAATGAGGAATTCAATTGCTGATATATAACTATTTCTCTGTAATATAGAAAATAAGTTAAAATTCTGAATTATAAATAAAAAACAAATAATTTGAAGACATCTGGTCCACATCTGTCTGAAATAACATAATTTAAAACAGTGTAATTGAATACAAGAAATACTGAAATATTCACACCTTAGAATGTAAAAAATAACTCATTCCATTTTAATGTGATTTCTTGAATTAGTGAATTTTTTTTTAGTGTCCTTTAACTTCTCATTCTGTCATTACAAAGAAAGACTGACAAGCTAGACAAACAAAAATAATCCATGGTTTTCAAAAGTGCCTACTAAATGAAAGAATTATCTTTATTACTATTCTTTTATATATCGACTAACCTCCACTCCTAAGCTAATATTCAGTGGACTTAGGCTCGAGCCTACTCCTTTTGATGTGTTTATAATTCTCCATTCAATTATTTAAAATGAGAGATGAGTGAGAGAGTCTGTAATCTCACTTTCTAAATTGTGTGTTCCTTCTGGGCACAAAGGGGCTCAGTAAATGTGAGAGAAAGGTATTCTGACTCATGGAAATGAAAAGCATCTTCGTTACATTCTCATGATCAGTAGAGAATCATCTTCTGAAGACTAGTCTTTTCTTTGGTTGGAAACTTGGGTTAAGTGGAAAATTAACGATTTAAAGAGAAAGAAAAATACACTAGACTTTCTATAGTTTAACAAAAAATTGTGAAAAACATGATAGATTTCTCCTTTAATAAAAGGCTACGGAGCCTTAAGACTTCAACTGGACTGAGTTTTGATCCATGAGAGAGAATTTATGTTTACAAAAACACTCAATGCTGATGCTACAAGGTTATAGGAGAAAATCTCTTCCTGGATGCCAGAATCTCCCCTAACTCAAAATAGACCACGAAAAGAATTGATACTGCAAGAAGTGAAAACCCTTTTCCTCACACATACCCTGAGGTATCACAAGTTATTTTTTGTATGTTTATTTCCAGGGAGCATGATAAAGATCCAGAGACTTTTTTTAAGGTATTAACGCATCTTAAGGACTTAGGACTCAATTTCCACGTATCTGTCCTTGGAGAAACCTTCACAGATGTCCCAGGTATCTCTTTTAAATTTTCTAATGTATACTTTTATAGATGACATAAGCTCTACAACTTAAATATTAATTTCCATGTTTCCCTTTGTTAGAATAACCAAGATGAGCACTGTTAACCAAAAGATTATATGATGGCATTAAAGTGTGATTCAATTAAAAAAATACTTAAGTAAGCATTCTTTGACTTAAGTTGAGAACATGAAGTCATCTCTTTTATCAAATATAGTTTATACAATGCATCTTGATGTAAATAAAATATATTGCTTTAGGCATCTTAACACTTATAGAAAGTGGGAATTTGTAATTGGCTATACAGCCTCTCGCCTCTGGGGTCACTGATTTGCATTCTGCTCCCATTGGTAACGGCTGAAATACATTAGCATCTGTTAGGTGGCCTGTGTACAGCACTTTGCCGTCAAACTTGTTGTGTGGAGTAGACCGCAGTCCACGTCGTAGTTGTCATTGGTCCATGCCTTTTTTATTGAATTTGAGAAGATAAACAAAAATCTGAAGCTGATAACAGCAGGTCTTGTCATTCTTACTGTCACATGGAGCCTTTTCAGAGCCATTTCCTTTGCACTGCATCCTTACTAGGCATGTTTGGGTCAGTAAGACGAACATCCTGACTCCATTCATAAGCACTTGAGTGTTCATATTTTTTAAACTTTGGGTCATTGGCATTTTTTTTTTAACTCTAAAAACACAGACAACAAAAGTTCAGTAATGACCCCTGCCATCGTGCGTTATGACTCTTAAGGCCCACTTAAGTTTACCCTCCCTTAGCAAGTACTTCTTGATTCTGGTACACAGCTAGGAAGTAGCACCCAGCCTGTAGCTCATAACCTCATCTGATATGGCTCATCTTCTACCCTCTGCACTTATGGATAGCAACCTTTTCTCAGTTCCTGTAAGGTACCAGGCTTCTTTAGACCTTCGGGTGTTTGCCTGTTTGTTTCTATTTTATCCTTTTGATCTTGACTCAGGGACATTTTCTTTCAATCTGAAACTTTATCATGGTCTTACAGCACCCTATACTCTTACTTCATGGTGCTTACCTCAGTTTCTAATCATATAATTATGTGTAATTTTTTATCTCACTACCCCCAACTCACATGCACACATACACTAGAATGGAGGTGCTATGAGGATGGGGATCATGTCTGTCTTGTTCATCACTGTACCCCAAAGCCTAGTGCAACACCTGGCACAACCCTGGCATAACTCAATGAACATTTAATTAATAAACAGTTAAAAATAGTGTAAACTCCATGTCCTCAAGCAATTTTTAGTTTTGTTGAAGAGAGAACACTTGTGCATAAGCACAGGAAACAGAATGAAACAAAAAATAATATAATTATATGTTAGTACTGACACATATGGCTTAGAGGAGAATGTTCATTGAAGAGCCAGTACTTGAATAGCCAAGGGATTAGGATTCATATTCCAAGAGGGAAATGACATGGGCAAAGTATGCAGAAGCAAACATTTTAAATATTGTATTTAAATGAAAGAACAATTTCACTGATTAATGCTGTGAGGTCACTAATCTAAGTAGAACAGGAGATTCTGCACACAGACCTTAATAAGTAAGTAATACTTACCTTACATAGGTAGAGTAGGGCCAAAGTATGGAGGATCTTGCTAACCAAAGTAGATGAGGTAAAGGGAAGAAATAAGGAGCCTACATCTTGTACAGGGAAGAAATATGAGGAAACTTTATTTTCCTCATTTTAGGAAGCTTTCATCGTGTATTTTAGGAAGCTTTATCTTGCGGTGATAGGTAGGCAACATCACAGGAAGACTCCACAGCGGTCATTCAAGTGCGACTCTGTGAGGTGGTGGCTGAGAGATTAGTGAGAGGGCTGTATGAGCGACGTATTCTCAATGAAAACAGAAAAGAATTGGTAGATGGATGGCTGTAGCGAAAGAAGGAAGAAAAAAATCGGCTTATTTGCAAAGCTGGTGAGTTCAGTTTTGTTTGTGCTGGCTTTGAAGTTCTTGTGGACAGACTGAGAAAAGTGGCTGGAGGACATCTCTAAGCAGAAGGCTTCTTAGCCACTTTTACTGTTGGGTAGTGTTAGGCCACAACTACAAAGAAGACTAGGATGTTATTCGGAAGGGCCATGTTCTTGGGATCACAGTCTCTGCTCTCACACATTAACACTGAGCTATTTGGAGTAGTATGGAGGGTTGAAAGTGGGGTGGGGAGCAGTTTGGGCCCAAGTGCTGAGTGCTCGCTTGTTACAGGTCCAATCTTACTATTCCGTTTGGCTTCACTTTAATATGTACTTACTGAGCACTGTGGAAGAGGGATTCCACACTGAACAAGACTTAGTCTCCACCCTCAGGGAGCTCTGCCTTGTGGAGACACTTAAATATCATTAACGGGTACCTAGGATGCTGTGAAATAATTAGGGAATGCTGTGGAAGCCCACAGGAAGGGGCATCATATTGTCTATGTGCACACTTCTGTTATTCCCAGTCTCATCTGGGGCTCTTTTCTGCCTAAGTTTCTGATCCATCTCTGTCATTTCACATGTAAACCAACTCTTTTTATGGCTACAGCACTTCACTTTGTACACAGGAGGAGCCCAAATTGTTGAAAAGGTGTTGAAAAGGGGAATGAGCCTGGTAGCTTTCCAGGTTGTGCTCCTAGGAGGCCACCTTGCCAGTCTCTAATCCAGAGATTTCCTAACGGGCCTGTAATTATGAGAACGTTTTTGCTTCCCTGTTTGAAAGACAGTGTCCCTGAGTCAAGATCAAAAGGATAAAGACAAACAAACAGGCAAACATCTAGCCATAGTTTCAAGTTTGTACATTAATTACCCTTTATTTGACTTCATTCTCCTTCTCTCTCTGCAGAGCTTTTAGGGAAAGCTAGCACATCTCTGAGTGATGGCATTGGCGCCAATGAGTTTTACTGCCCTTTTTCATGAAGCAAAGAATCTCCATTAAATTTCTTTTGAAAATAAAACTCTAATCCGGTAACTTTGTAGAGTCTTCATACTGTTGATTATTTTCAAGTATGTTATTTTCAAATTATAATCCTTTTTCTGAAAAGTGTGGTGGATTAAGAATATCAATTCTAGTTTATAGCTACATACTTTATGGCTCTTTTGTATCATCCTTTCATTTTATAAAGGAGGAGAGAGATCTAGGGCAGTGACTGTCCCAAGTTCCCATGGCTGGGCACAGTGGGTGAGACAGGCTGTAGACAGAGGCGAGGTTGGGAGTAGAGCCTGGGAGTCGGTCTTCTCATCTATACTCACTTCTCTATGGATTCAGTAAATGTGTTTTTAAGTATCTACTTTGTGCCAAGCACTAAGCTAGATGTTTAGGATGAAATAGTGAATAAAGCAAACATGTTCTGTGATATTTGCAACTTGTAGTCCCGCTCTAGTGTTTTATTCATCACTTACTAGAACATTCCTTAAAAATGTTAGAACTGACATTTTTCGAGCACTTAGCATGTTCCAGGTAATGTTCTAAAGTCCTTTATGCCTTGCCTCATTTACTCTTCACTGCAATCGTGTTAGTTAGGCACTATTGTGATGACCACTTTACAGCTGAGGAAAGTAAGGCACAGAGAGGTTGAAACTTGCCTAAAATCACCCATCCATCCAGTTATGAAGCCACATTTCAAACCCAGTCAGTATGCCTCCAGTGCCATTGCTTAGCCTGTACTCCATGTCCACAGAATCATCCCTGTTTTACAAGCAGGAAAGCAGGTGATAATGGTGGGAAATCCTGACCACTTGTGTGAAATCATCTCCATTTTCTCTGATAATTTCTTTGCAATTATAAAGTTAAAGAAACACAGAGCCTCAAATTCATTTCCTAAATACCTCGCTCTTTAGATATTAAAGTGAATTCCGTCTTTTTCTTCCATCTGTCTTCATCATAAGAAAAGTGTCAAAAACAATATAAAGTGGAAAGATATCCCAAATAATACTTGGCGTATATTTAGTGTTTAATAAATATTAGTTGAATGAATGAAAGAAGGAGTTTGGCATAATAGAATAATACAGTTTACATACCATACCAGGTATGTAGAAACTTACATTGAAATGATTTCCAAATGAATGAATGAAATAGTGAATGAAATAGAGAACCCCAAGGCTTAAGGAAGTTCTAAGTGGTTTTATTATATTTTCTGTTTAATGTGGGTGACCTTGACTTAACATAAATATATTTTTCAATTTTTTTTGTCATCTTTCAGCTCTTACATCAGTCAGAATAAGCTGAGTTATGCTAAGCTAACTAACAACCTTAAAATCTCAATGGCTTAAAACACGTAAGATTTGTTTCTCATTCATGCTATTTGTTTATTGCAGGTGGGCAGTAGTATTCTACTCATTATGGTCACTCAGGGACCCAAGCTTACAGAGAGACCCAAACAACCACCAGCTCAAACATTGCCAGTTATCATGCCAGATGGAAGAGAAAGCTAGGACGTTGTCCCATTAGCACTTCAGCACTATGGCATTAAAGTGACATAGAGTTCCACTCAATTCATTAGCCAAAACTAGTTACAAGACACTGTCCAATCATGATGGGGGCCAGGAAATGCAATCCTACTTTGAGTCCAAAATGAGGGAGAACAGAAATATTTGGTGACCAGCACTATCGACCACCATAGATCTTTAATATGCATTGTGATCTGCGGCACATCAGAGGCAAAACCAAGCCTATGCAAGATGTCTGCCTTAATCTGGGTGAGTCTATCCTGATTGAGTAAAAATCCTTAACACATATTAGAGTATTGCCCACAGTTTCTTGCTGGAGACAACCCAGGTGGTGTCGGAAGATGCATCTAGCAACCATGTCCCATAAGGCAGAGCACATATAAAATTGAGTTGGTCTCTGTGGGAATGGAGTTAATTATCACTTACAGGTGACTTGTCATTTTGGAAAGCTTCTGGTGTCAATCAGGAGTGGTTTTTGCCCTACACTCCCAGGGGACATTTGGCAATGTCCAGAGATATTTTGGTTGATACAATTGA